CATTCTAGCTAAAGGAGAATCATTAAAAATCGTTCTCGACGCTAGATACCTCAATTCACTCATAGATGAATCAAAATGTAATTGGCCCATTGAACCAATACAAGTTATTTTAACAAAAATAAATGGCAAATACTTTACAACCGCCGATATGAATAGTGCATACAATCAAATGCCACTAGATGAACAATCACGACGTTTAACACAATTTGTTATCGGAAACCAACAATATGAATTCAACCGCTTATTCTATGGAATATCCATAGGACCAGCAGCATTTTCAGCTTTTATGAGCAAAATTTTTAGACCACTAATACTCAAGAAAAACGCAATCACCTATCTAGACGATGTTTTTATGCAATCACAAACAAAAGACGAAATGTTCAAAGTTTTAGAACAATATCACCAAATACTTCAGAACGAAAATCTGAAGGCCGCCCCCGATAAATCACACTTCTTTTTAACAAGAGTTAAATTCTTAGGACATAACATAGAAAGAAAAACAATCACTCCATTGAAATCACGCATTGACGCTATTCAAAAACTTCAACCACCAACAAATAAAAAGAAAATCCAAGAATTCCTTGGAATGTTAAACTTTTTAAGTAAATATGTTTATAAAATGCAATTATATCTACGACCATTTTATAACATTCTTAGACAACAAAATAACTTTGAATGGAATACAGAACATCAAGCACGATTCGAAGAAATAAAGAAACTTTTAACTGAACAAATTTCAAATACAATTCCAGACCCTGATCAACCATTTTATGCAATGTGCGATGCTTCGAACTTTGGCATCGGCGCAGCATTATTACAATCACATAATGGTACAAACAAAATGAACCTTATATCAGCAAACTCCCGATTATTCACTCAAGCAGAGCTACGACTCTCAACCCTAATGAGAGAATGTACAGCCATAATATATACACTGACAGAATATGAATTTCTGATACTTGGATCAAAACATCCCACAGTTTTATTCACAGACCACAAACCAATCATTTTTCTTTTTACACAAAAATCTAACCCAAACCACCGAGTTTACAGATTTCAATTAATTCTAATGAAGTTTCCAAACTTACATATAGTTTGGACTGCAGGAAAAAATCTTGCATTACCAGACACCTTAAGTCGAAATACACCACCTGAATTACTTACACGAAAAACAACAGTTGAAATACCCAAAAACATAAAATTCTACCTTGCAGAAAACGAAACATCACCTCGATTAGAATGCAAATATGCAGTAAAAACTGATATTGAACAATCACAAATAAATAATTTACAACATTTCCCACTTTATTTAGATTGTCAAAATAATCATTATGAAGTTGATCTACTCGGAACATCAACTTTCAAACCAATCCCATATTCTCAATGGATAAAAAGTAACACCCAACAAAAACGAACAAAACAACACCTACCTAAGAAAGACCATTTTCCACTAATCGAAAAAGAAGATTTAACTGATAAAATAAATTTATCAGGACCACAAACAAATGATTCAAAATACACAATAAATCAAGTTTTTGACCTCCATGACCCACTTGATACAATACCCTTATCTAAATTAGAAATCGAAAACATTTTCCTCCCCCCAACAGAAACAATTACAATTTCAACACTGAAACAATATCAAAATCTTGACCCAATAATTCGACAACTGAAATCATGGCACAAATATAAAACTAAACCTATCAAAGCAGATTCAACCATTCTAGGAAACAAAACACTCCTCCGATACTTTCGCAAATTTAACAACACAACAATTAACGAAAAAACAGACCTTTTAGAGTATAACCTAAATGAATCTACAGTTCCCTGTCTCCCTATAAGTATGATTCTTATAGCTTTTAATATTTCACATACACAAAATATTAAAGGACACTCTGGATCAGAAAAAACATATTCAAATTTTATACAAAATTTTTACTTCCCAAATGCACCAATTTGGATAAAAGTACTATGCAATGATTGTATAGTATGTCAACTGAATAAACCTTACCCAAATCAAAAACAAATAGCACAAAAACAAGATTTTAAAGGACAAAGTTTGTATTTTAATCATCGTATCTCATTTGATACTAAAGGACCAATTTCACCCTCATCAGAAGGAAACTCCTACATTATGGTAATTGTTGACGCATTTACACATTATGTAGCACTTAACCCAGTACCACATTGTAACGCTTATTACGCTTACACAACACTCTATGAACACTGGATAGCAAAATTCGGACTACCAGAAATTTTAGTTACAGACAACGGTACAGAATTCATAAATAATGAAATAATAACACTATGTCATTTATACAACATTAAACACAAACCACGTACATCTCATGCACCTTGGACAAACGGCTTAGTCGAAGGTATGAACCGTTCACTACAAGAATATCTTAGATGTATCATCAACGGAAATGATACAAAATATACCGAATGGTCAGCAGATGTAAAATTATTTCCCTTAGCATATAATTCACAAATCACGACAACTTTAGGAATGTCACCATATGAAATGGTTTTTAACCAAAAGCCACGCAAACCAATAATGTTTACAGCAAATTCCCATAAAAACGCACAAGGTTATTGTCAACCAACTAAAGACTCAATTTGTTATAACCTACCTTTACATACACACGAGGAAGATCATTTTCATCACCCACAAATTCTTAAATTAGCCTCCGGTACACACACCGAATGGATTTTAAATAGAGATAAGAAACACAATGAAATTTACCAAAAAATAACGAAAAAAGTTATTACAAAGACAGAACATAAATGAACAAATCAATTCACGTTTTACACCAGCTTCCGATTTAAAAATTGGAACATTTGTTTTAATACCTAATTTTAATACTCAAAAAGGAATTTCTAAAAAATTACAACCCCTCCGAAAAGGACCCTACCAAATAATTGCAAAACCCACTGATGTCACATATAAAATTACCGACTCAAACAAAAAAGAAATCGTTCAACATCGAAACAACCTATTACCTTATTACCCAAAAGAATACGCACTCCGCGAATTAACCCAATTATATTCTTTCACAGGATTAAAAATCATTCAAAATGAACCACATCTGAAAAACACAGAACAAAATGATAACCCCACCGAAAATCAAAACACAAAACCAACCGCCACCAAAAACAATACACAAAACCATAAAGAATCTCCAAAACAAAGAAAAAATAGAAAAATGACCGAACAAATAATACCCCAAGAAGAAATAGACAAATCAGAACATAGAAAAACAACAAGACTCCGAAATCAACCACGTAAAAACTACAAAATGTTCATCCCTCAATCTAAAATATTAAAGAAAGTAGAATTTAAAAAGTAATTTTAAGATTTTATACTTCACAATCTTGAAACCTCCGTAACAGTTTTCATTTCATTTTTTCAAAATAACATGTTTCAAACTTTCCTTTAACCCGGTTGGAAAGGAATCATATACTAAACAAAACTAACCAACGCAGCTTACTAAATACCACAAATCATAGAATAACAGCATGACTAAGAAAAGGAAACCAACGGTACCCAAACCGGATTAACCCAGTTTAAAACTGGATAATTTATTCTTTTGAAGACTATTACAAAGTCTTAGAAAGAAATAATAAAACACAAAAAAGTCGAAAGACAAACCCATACCACAAACAATTTGCTTTTTAGAAAAAGTACATAACCAACAAGACATAAGTAAAACCACAACAAACCCAACATAAAACGTTGTCACATAACAGGACCCCTCACAAACACCGCATGAAATTATACTCCCACACCTGGCCTAACCCACCAGGAAAGGACGTCCTGAGCATGCTCTATAGCCGGCCTAACCCACCGCGCTACATCCACGCTTTGTGACCACACCTTTATTTTTAATAAGAGCTACTCAAGGGTGAGTAACTCTTCAAAATAACCGAACTAAAACAAAAAGCTTTTGTGAAAACAACTAACTAAAATCATAATTAAAAAATATTAAATTAATAAAAGTTTTATAAAATGTAAAATCACATGATGCAATATATAGATCAGAATACAACACCAAGGACGAACATCAAAAGACAAGACGACCTCACTACACTCGAGAGAGAATGACCAACTACAATCGATATGCCGCTCACAATCACAACTCAAAGGATTTAGAGTACGACTTGACTTCGCAGAAAAGGACTTCATTGAACTAGACCAATGACCACCTCGATGTTCAAGTATACGTACAGATCCGAGTAACCAGGCATCCCCTCCACGCACAATCTCCACGCCATTCCCAAACTAGATCAGACACAAAAGAAGTTCTCCACGAAGAACAGAAAAACCTGACATAGCCAACCATTCTGAAATCAGAATTGATGCTGTTGCAGAGACTCAGTCGATGTCACAAGAAGAAGCGGAAGAAAATTATGATGTTCGCCAAATACCAACGTCCATCATCCATCCTTGAACTACAGAAGAACTGTTCTAAAAAACTCTGTAAAACCCGGATGGGTGGAACCTGATCTAAACTACATTTTATGATTGGATAAATTAAATGTTTTACCAATGTAAAGTATTTAATATTAACCAATCATGATCCATCTAACTAACAACCCACTTATTTGTAAGTGCTGAAGTTACTTGTAATTTCAGCACCAGAGAGATTTGAATTTAACTTAGAAATTAGTTGGACTCTCCCGAGCACTTCAGCAGCCGCAATAAACCAGTATACCCTAGATCTATTGAGCCTAGCAGAGACTAGTTAAACAACCTGAGACTAGATAGTATAAGAGTAAGATTAGGATCGGTATTAGACTAAGAAGTTGCACGAATCTATCCGGCCGAAAATAAGATAGCGTGACGAGCAGACGGTGTACCCTATCCGAAATTACTCTATGAGTTACACTTCGGTCCTAACTCAAAACGCACGACGGAAAAAGAAATTGTGTGTTTTTAAATCATTCCGTTTGTATAATCTTTGAGTTGTGAATTATTGAATGTTGCTTTGAGACAAGAATTTTGTTTTAATAACTTTAATTCAATCTCCCCTATATCATGTTATAATACGAAATTAATAAAAGTTACAATAAGAGCGCATATCAGCATCTTAAGTCCAGACTTTTCGAAATTTTGAGTCCTTTAGTACCTCGGAGTGCCAACAACTTCGTTGATCCAGTCAATGTAGTCCACCACTTCGGTGTAGACACCTGGGTTCCTCGCCTGGGCACATCCGTTTCCCCAAGAGACCACGCCTGTGAGTTCGAAGAAGCCCTCTTCATTCTGCATCGCCAAAGGTCCTCCGGAGTCTCCCTGGCAGGAGTCCCGCATCCCCTCTTCGAATCCAGCGCAGACCATTGTCTCTGTGAAGTATCCGCCCAGCCACTTCTTGCACGTATCTCTGGAAATCACAGGAACCTCGACGACACTCAAGATGTTTCCGTCGCCAGTTCCCTTGGTGTATCCCCATCCCAAAGTCACTGTCTTCTCACCTCCTTGAACCTCAATGCTTGGTAAGCAGATAGGTTGGATCTTGTCTGTAAAAGGGACGGACTGTGTCATTTTCAGAATCGCAATGTCGTTCGAGTTCCAGCCGTCCTGACCGTACCTCGGATGAATCGTGACACTTCTGACGTATCTTCTCTCCTGGCCATGTTCGATTTCATATCCATATTTCTGGTGTTTGTCGCCAAAAAACAGTTTCAAAGGCGAGGGATCCATGCCAGTCCAGAAGCAGTGGGCAGCCGAAATGACTGTATACTTATCATACAGAGCACCTCCGCACCAGTGGTTCCAGCCCATTTTGATGTTCACCATAAAAGGGTACGATCCTCTCACCGGCGAGTTTGAACCATTGACAATTCTTTGGTCCAATGGTTCATGCAATGGAGCTTTTCCGCATTGGTAGGCTCTAAGAGATGGCTCAGATATCTCGGCTTCCTTTGGCGATGGCTCAGACACTTTTGGCGGCGCCGGTTCACTGGCAAAACCAGGAGGCATTCTTTGGTATCTAGCCAATACCGACACAGCCAGTAAAGCAAAGATAGCAATTTTAAACATCCTCGAACAAATTTGGATTTCAGATTTCGAGTATTGCAGCTAGGAGATTTGACAACAGAAATTGTGAGGATGGTTTTCTCATCTCGGATTTTCCTTTTTATACCACACGAATCTATTTCACTGCACTCGTTTTGCAGCATGAAATTGATTTTTGCCGATAAGAGAGATTATAAATTCAATTAGAGACACTTGTGAATAAGTATTTAAGGTCGTTGTTTCGTAAATAACTGATTTTTAGAGCTCAAAGAGGTTCATTTACTTTTTAAATCATCTAAAATTGATTTATTTTCCTACAGAAGTGGCTCAAAATTGATTTGTAAATAAAAGTGACATTATAGGCTGCAGCAGCTTATGCGAAGTAGATTATCGATGCATTTGTCATAATTATGAACCATTCTATCGCTTACAAAGTCTAAGATTACTAAAAAAACACAAAACACTAAAAGAGGCCTAGGAAATTAGACGACGAGCAAGAAGTTATTTTCTGATCGTCTAATTTGCCTATCGTCTAATTTCCCAAACTCTCACTAAAACAAGTGATAAACTGTAAAAAACGTGTTGATGGAGTGGAATAATGTACCAAGCTGTGATGCGGGAAAATCCCACCATGGAGAGAATATAAAAGTTGTCAATAGATTCCACAAAAGTACACGCAGTATGCCATCTCTTTTTGAGAATAAAAATCAAATCATTTTTCAGGTGATCACATTGTGCCTCCGTAAATCTATGAACAATTTTTGGCGTTTGCTATTCATAATTTAAGCCGCACACTCAAACAGCTCATATGGCGCATGGCGGGGCTCGAACCTCAAGTCTGTTGGTTGACAGGATAAGCCCAAGAATCCTATTTAGAGCCTTCAAATGCAAATAATGGGAAAGTGTCAAAATATCTTTGTCTTGAATTTGATTGATTTTTTGAAGTTGACTGATGGCGAAGATTATCTTAGTGTAATCTTTTTGCATGTTTTATCGACTAAAAGCTATCGAGACAATATTTGCTCTCTGGCTGTTCCAAATTGAGTAACTATGATTGAAGCATACTTCAAAAAATAGATAACAGTTAGACGGTTGACATTAATATGTTATCTACAAATTGAGAAACCAAAATTTTTGTCATTTTATTTTGAATGGTGGCTTCAAAGCAGTTGCAAAATGCACCTTTTTTATCATTAAAATATGAAAAAATTGTTTTGGATTGATAAATAGGGCGAGGCGGCAATTCGTAACAGGCGACAATTCGTAACAAGCGAAAATTCGTAACAAGGCATTGGCAAGTAGAATACGCTTGCTCCGCTGTGCTTACATCCGGCACGAGAGGAGTTCTACGCGTGAATCAGTGATCCCCGCTTAATCTACTGTTACGAATTGTCGCTTGTTACCAATTGTCGCCTGTTACGAATTGTGGTTTGTTACAAATTGTCGCCTCACGGATAAATATATTGACTGAGAATTTTTAAGCTACTGCGGGAATCTTTCAACTTATATGAATGGATCTTTCTAACCAAAGGAAGACAAGACATCCGACATTTAGAGATTTCATATCGACTGCAAAGCTATTACCTCTGCAAAATATATTTGAGTTCTGATCGCATTTTGGCAAAACAAGTAATTAAAGCTACTATATCCTTTGGTTTCTTGATTTTGGTTTCTTTAAAAGGTTTTATTTTTAACGGAAAATAATTTTTTTAAACAAAATTAGTTTGGCACTTAAAATGAATTATAATTTTAAAAATTGTAATAATTGTAAAGGTTACCAACCAAAATCTCTTGAGAGTTCAATGCATTCTATTTTTTGCTCATTCAAACCATTTGCTGACACAATTAATTTAAAAAAGATAGTTTAATCAGTTTTCTGTTCTTCGCGATGGCTTCATGTTTTCTCTTTTGTTAAAAAAATGATAATAAAAATAGCGTATGAGTTCACGTCAAAAAAGAGTGGATTTGGTAATTTTCAACAGTATTCAGGTATGTTCTAATTGTCAAACAAAATGTCGGAATTTTGTTGCTTGGTTGTTTTGTGTCCATTTTTTGTGAGCCATTTTTGAAACATCTTAAAGCAATTTTTGATCATCTTGAAACAAGTGATGTTTTGATCTCATTATCAGCAACTTGTTTCAAATGCGACCATTCTGTTGTAAAATTGAGGGGTTTGAAAATGGTCAACTTGGCCATTTTGGGACAACAGTTAGGCTACTTATATTTTGTTTGATCCAAATTGATCTCATGATGATAGATATTGACGAATCAGTAAACTTTGTAGATAAAGGTCAGCGCTAATTTTAGGTTTTTGAGAACAACGTGGTTATTGGGTAAATAGATCCAACAGTCTGGGCTTGAGTCGAGGACTTGGAAGCCACACAACTAAAAAGCCTCGACTTAAATCAGAGAAGTGATATTTAGAGATAAAAAATTACAGTTTTTTGTGTAGTTGATATCACAATGACAACCCTGGAATATTGCTTAGTTTTTATCAAAAAAAGAAATGACAAAAATATGCAGAACATTTAGTTTTGGTAGCAAGCAACTGTACAGTCGCGCAGACTTTTGCTATTGTTAAGAGGGAGGGGGGGGGAGGTTCTCATGATGGAAAACTTTAAGCCACTCAGAATCGTTAGACGTTCTTATAGGCTAAAGGACTTTCGTTCAAAACCGAAATCATTATTAACAGAAAATCAACAAAAGTAGCCAAAGTTTTTTTTTCATATTTTTTGATTTCGTTTTCTTTTTAGTTGGAAGTATATGTATCTGCTTATTTTACCTTCGGTCAATCTTAATTTTAAAAGCTTGATTTATTCGCTTTCTTTGAAATTTTCCGATTTATTTGATATTGTTGAATACTCAAATCTGATTGGTTGAAATAAACGAAAAAAGTTCCATTATTTGGTCTCTCCATCATGAGGGATGCCACCTGAAGTAAGTCTTGCACATTTAATTTGGTCTAGCCGGCTGTTGACTTTTTCGGTTCACTCGCGTCGTAGAGTTTCCATACTCTGCTTAGACCGAAAAAAAAACAAATAGAAAAACAAGAATAACAAAAGAAGACTGCTCGAATAACAAGAATAACAAAAGAAAACCCTGAATGTTCCGACTGTCTCTTAATTAATATCCCATAGTTTTTGGGAAAAGAAAAGATTGGATACTTTAACACACCGAGCATAAATATTCAGTTTTTCTTCAAAAGTCGGAAGAATTATTTAAGATGCACATTGAGTTTTAGATTCGGCCACAGAAACAGGGAACGAGCGTTATCTTCCTGGGTTGAGGTGTTTGACTCATGATTTGGCCGACCCGGTCGAACGATGTCCGGTTTTCGTCTCAAGTTAGGACGGTCGAACAAAGACTATAAACAAACAAATTCGAATGATGGGTCAAACAGGGTCGAATTAAGAGTCGAACAGGGTCGAATGATGGGTCGAACAGGGTCGAATGATGAGTCGAAATGGGTCGAAACATGGGTCGAACAGGGTCGAAATCTTTGAGTGTGTGTTTTGAAGATGTGGTTGAGTTTTTTCCCTCCTAGATTCAATGATGGATGAGAACATTCAAAAAATTGCTCCGTATCCGGCAGGGGGTGGATCTACAATTTTCTCGAGGTGAGCGTGAGGTGTCAGATTTTCAAAAAATTTTGAACTTTTTTCGATCTTTGATTTTTTTAGGTCGACTAAACTGATTTTCCGAGCTGTCCTAAAGAACTAAAAAGTCCCTGTTTTGCCCAAAATTTAACCATCAGGTTAACAAATTGGGCCAACAGATTAACAAAAGTTGTTCTAGTGAGATTTCAAATAAGCTCTTACAGTCTCGAGCAAAGTTTCAACCATTTCAGTCAAATTAATGTAAGAACTAACTGTAACAAAAATAACAAGATAATTGCATTAGCGCGAAAACAATTACAATACATATCTTGGCTCAAGTTAATTTGAAACGACTTATGAGCGGACTAAATAGCCGCTTATGCGTTAATAGAACGAAAGATGTGGCGCCCTAATTGCCCTAACTGCCCTAGTTAGATAGCTGAGTTGACGATCGTCAAACCGCCAAAAACCAAGGACAATTGAATACGGCTGAAATGTTTTTTAAATTTGAGCTCAAAACTAAAATATTTTTCAGATGCTATAAAAAAATTGCACCCAAAATAGCTTGTTAGAAGAAAAAACTACCCGAGAAAATATATGCCATCACTTTGCACTTTCGTAATTATATCTTTACATTTCTAGAGAATCATGTTCCAGGATCTATTTAAATTAGTCTTCGATTTTTTCTAAAAATTCGATTTTTTTGTGATCAATGGTTTTGAACAGAATGAAAAAAACTAGCAGAGAGTATGTAAATCACGTAAATCACTATGAAAACCACTATGAAAGGACTCAAATAAAAGTGGAGGGTTCCTTGTGGTCCTTTTTTCATTCAAGCTGAAATAAAAGGTTTCCGGTAAGTTTTATTTCATAAGACGTGTGATTCAAAATTTTACTATTTGTTTAATCTTAGAGCAAATGTCAGCGTTCTTTGCAGCTTTGATGCCAACTTTAACTCCAAAAATGACAAAAGACAGCACAAGACCAATTATAAATGCCAAAAAGACTCCTCGGATATCGTCAAAGCCAATTGTTTCTACGTTTGCTGCCAATTTGTGCTTATCCGAGCATTGAGATCGTGTTACGAACCAAGTTCGGTGGATCTTGGCCATAGTCCCGTCCTCAATAATTTCTAGAATGTTCTTCGAGAATATTTCAGTCAGTGGGGATCCTTTTGGAAATGCGAACCCATAACCTGGTCCAGTTTTTGGACTCGAAGAACTTCGGACCATTTCCAAATCACAAGGTGCGAATGTTAAGTCGTAACTGAGATACGGTGATTCACGGATGAAAGCGAAGTCGTCTCGTGCTCTTACTCGGGCCATTCCTTCGGCTGCGTCGTAGAACCCACTGTCTCGACTGATCATATCCGCATACATTTTCTGTAGAACTCTTTTTTTACCCATTTAGTAAAATCTGTTTCTGTTTCAAAAAATCGGTATGTTCTTTTCTTACCCAAATTGAGCTTCTAGTCGAGTCGAAATTCAGAAAGTGGTCTAATAGAAAAGCTACACTCGTAACATCTAGTAGCTATCAAATTCAGAAATATATGTAAAAACAAAACTGTTAAAAAACGTTTTTTTTTTAAAGGAGTGCCTGAAAGTCTCAAAAATGAGTTGATCGATTTTTAAGGAATGAATTCTGAAAAACACGCCCGTTCTTTATCCAGAATCATAATGATCACATGTTGGCTGACTTTGCTCGATTAAAATTCTACAAGAACAAAAAAAGGGATATTAAGCTGAGTTGGTGATCAAATTAGAGCACGCCAAAGTTTATAGGCACGACCGGCATATAAGCCCCACCTCAAATTTTCCACTTGAGAAACGTGTGTAATTCATGAATTACGGTGACTTTAATTTTATCGAGTTTTAAACTGCTAGCTTAAGTTCAGATAAAAAAATTAGAGAGGCAGTTTCATCAAATTATTTCATGTCAAGTCTTTGGACTACGTGTATGAAGTCTTCGGATTGTGTTTTTATTGCTAAGCTTCAAGCCAAGGGGTTTTCAGTATAAAAACTAAACAATTCTGCTCGTATATCTGGGCACAGCCCTGAATGTTCCGACTTCCCCTCAACTGGTCTTTAATAGTTTTTGTTAAAAAAATTGACAAAACTTAAAGTGTAGGCAAGTGTTAACATTTGACAAGAGTTAATATGACCAAATATATTAGACCTCAATTATTTTTGAAATGGTTAAGAGTGCGGATAATTTTTCACACGTAAACAATTGGCAAATTGAAACTATGAAAGTAATGTTCAAGTAGCGATGGTAACCACAGTTTACTCAGTGCAAGCATACTCGCTTGACAATCCAAAGACGCAAAGTGAGTATGCAAAGTGAGCAATCCAAATGGCGAAGACCTGAATATTACAGCTGCTCTTAAACTGGTCCCGAATTTTTTTTGAAAAAATATTGCAAAAAATGAGTTTTGGGCTGATAATAATAAGTTATTGAAAATTGAGTCGTATTTTACGTTCCATTAGCTTCAGGGGCAGACCTAATATTTTTCGAGGTGAGAGGGGGGGGGGGGGGGGGAGTGGATTTTTAAAAAAATTTCGCAAATTTTGTCGACTTTTGTTTCTCTTAGATCGACCAAATTGGTTTTCCGAGCTCTACCAAAACATTCAAAAAAACATTGAAAAAAAACAGGACAAAAAAAAAACGTTTCTAAGCTTTTTTATGAAAAAAGTTTACCAAAAATTGCGTTTTTGGCGCGCGCGCGAAAACGCAAGCTAGCACGAAAACGCAAGTGAAATATTGTTTAAAATCATGCTCAAGACATCAATAATGTCTCGTCAAAATTAGATAACTAAAAAGTCGATAATATCGAAAAGAAAAAAAAACCATTTCGAGACCAAATAATCCGTAATTTTTTTCAAAAGTCGATACAAACATTTAGATTATCTTGATTTTTTTCTTGTTCAATCTATGTTTAGTTAGGGTTAAACATTTCTGCTGGGCCGAGGAAATGACCAGTATAAAAATTAACAAATGAAGTTTTTTTGTTCTGGAAAAAGAGCCCTGAAAAGGTTCATAAGAAGTGTCACTGAATGCAAGATTAGTAGCCTGGCCTTTCATAGCTCCATAATGAAAATCAGGAAAACGGAGTAGATCTTCAATCGATTTCAGAGGTACCGTTCCTCTGTTAACAGTCAATAATGCTGTTAATAATGAAGAGTAAAGAGTCAGCATCGCCAAAGAGAAAAACCACCACGACACCGCAGTCATACGAGACGCTAAAGACTTCGGATATGATTCGGGTCCTTGGCCAAAAAGGCAAGCGAACGTGAAATAGAGACAGGAGCCAATACTACGAAGACGGTTGTTCTGAGAATTGAACATTCCGAAGAAATACAAAGCGGCTGCAGATATTAACAAGCAACATAGAATTGCTAGCCACACATATTTCGAAAAGGGCATAAAAAAAGCAGTCAAGCCAAAATTGACGGTGGGTTTTTTGAATACAACTGCTAATTCTATTTGCATATAAGGAACAGTAAAATCGACAACTTGAGATCGATGAGCGTTGATAGTCAAATCAGCTGCTCCCATGTCAACCCGACCTTCAAGAATTTCGCCTATAATTCCGTTCCAAGACTTGTTTCCAATCGGAGATCCATAATTACTGTCTGGCGACGGAATAAAATTGTACTGAAAGCCGATTCGAATTTGCAACTCGTCGATTAAAGTTTGAATTAGTCCGATTCGTTGAGTCTCGTTGTCCAGTCCGGTGAGCTCAAATAGAAACGGTTCAGTGTAAATAATTGAAATGTTAAGTAACATACCTTTAAGTGGCGTTAAACTATTTGTTACTGAAAACACTAAGAAAACTAGAAAAACAATTGAAATTTGGGTAATTTTGTGCATATTTACTGCAAAGTAAAGTTAGCCGCGCTTTAGGATAAAGATAAAGAGAAAAACTCTTCAATAAAAAATGCAATTATCAGAAACGTAAACTTTGAAAATGTGGAATGAAGTTTTTAGTAACTATTTATTATTGGAAAATAATTGAGAAACTCATCATAGAAGTTCAACTCAAGAGTTTGTTGAACAAATGTACCAGCTCACTCCAATTTTTTCTAGGACAGGTCATTTTTCCCCTAAAACCAGTTTGAATGATTGGCACTACGGATGAAGAAAGGTCAAAAATTTCATAGCTTATAAGTATTCTCTTCTCTGATTGTTCATTTGAAAGTTGTGTCTCACGCGCGATAACGAAATAGGGCAAACTTGAACACCGGGTTGGGTAACTTTTGGTTGAAAAAAAATGAGCGGATCTTAGGTTTCAAGAAAAACCTAACACAATTTTTTGAATATGAGTGGACCCCTTGGGACAAATAGTTTCCATAATGACTTAAGAAATATGATTTTGATTGAAGACAGAAAAGAAATTTTTAAAAATCACTGTCACTGAATATGAGATAAATCGGTACAATCAAGTTTTTTTTCAGAATGGTAATTGATGGCATTATTTCTGATTTTTCAAAAAAAAAACTATATTTAAATACAATTTGCTCCTATTTAGCAGTGCTCAACAGTGGCCCAGTGTAGTGAGCTGAACAGCTCGCATGTTTGTCCTTTCCCTTGTGGAAAAGTGATCATCAACAATTTTGAGCTTTTGAGACTCAAATGCCATTGACAAAAAGTAATTTGCTAGTTGTAATTTTAGAAGAAAATGTGTTTAACTTTGGTTTTCGTATATTATTATTTTGTTTGAAAAACTTGTTTATAAGAAACTATTAAATTTATTTCGATACAATGTTTCCGACCATCAAGAATTAGATATTTTTTCGATTTCTGGTTCTGGTGCGTTTTTTGCACGCACAATCAGGTTCCACTTAAAATGTAAGACCGGTTCGAGTGTTTTCAAATCAAAACCCTTGCAGGAATGAAAGGATTCCGACTTGAATGAGCGATTCAAGTCGGAATGAAAAATTCTTGAAAATATCAAAAACTAGAGACTCAAAAATTATGCAAATTTTTCATCCTCCGATGAAAACATTTTAAACAAAAACAGGAAAAACAAAAAAAAACATTTTTTTTTTGCGAGAACTGATGAAAAAACTAGATAAACAAAATAATCATTCAAATCAAAGCAAAATTCATATTTTTTTTCCAAAAATGTCCCCGAAAATTTTTAATTTTTTGATTCCCAAATTGAGCTTAAAAACTCCATCGTTTAATTTTCTCGGTTCAACTTCATTTTCTCAGCATAAATTCAGCATAAATAAGATGTTTTAAGCCTCCTAACTCACCTCGTTTCCTCGAAGTTAGACCAATATCAAAAACTTCAAATGGGTTTTTCTCGACATTTTCAAAATTTTTAGATATTCGAATCACAACTGAAAAGATTCAATATGATGTAACCCTTGGCCTATTCTGATGATTATTTGTGGCACCTGATAATGCTTTGAAAAAAAATCGAAAAAAAATTAAAACTTCGGAATACAAAGTCCTTCTTCTTTTTTTAATGGTCAAAACAATAAGCAGCTGCATGCATCCCTGCCCAAAAATGATAAAACGATTGCAAACTGTTTTTTATCGACAAATTGTTTTTTTTAGAATATAAAAAGTTTTTCGCTAGCTGGCTTTATAACTTAATTTCTGAATTTTTTCTAGAATTAAATGTAAATTTAAACAAAAAAATAACGAAATCATATGAAAATAATGAAAAATCATATGAATAAGATATGAATAACCATTGGGAAGGGGAAACAAAACGGTTTCGAATTATGAAAATGGTGTTTAGCTCCAGTAAACTGACAGGAAAAAAAGAAATCGAATGATATATTGATATGTGTAAGTTTTCCGGCATCTGATATTTTGCTTACAACCAAATGAAACTATAAAATGTAAAGTAAAGCCCACTGTTTTTGTGCCAAAGGGGATGTTTTATGGAGTGAAATCTTTTAGCTTACTGTTGGTAAAACGTTATTTTACAACAAAACTGAGGAGGAAAGGGGTTTGCAGACGTCGCGACTGAATAAATTTGTGGAAGCTTCTTTTTTGAAAAAGAACAACTGATTCGGATTTGCTAAGAGAAGAGGAAGTTTAATTGAATCGAATATGGAGGAATTTCCTAATAACAAAAAGACCAAAAGCACAAAAGTTATACTAGCAAATGAGAATACAGTAGCATTCAAAAATTAAAAGAACACAAGCGTAAAACTTAGTCGGTTTTTGACAATTTAAAAAACTTTGATTCAGTGAAATTTTCCGGAGTTTTGGTCCTTTGGGACTGAAAACACGAGTTTCACCAGCCAAAATAAGTCCTTCAAGATTAAGACTCTTAAAAACGGATTATCTCCTGATTGTATCTTACGTTATTGAGTTTTACGAAAAAAAATTCATTGTCTGGTAAGATATCCGTGTAATT